GCAGGGAAAAAAATAGGGAACCTGCACACTGAATCTACACTGCTCACAGTGAGGCTGCCTCCTGGCTCCGTCCCATTTCTAAGGCTCTGTTAATAAGTGCTTGCCTGGGTGTGCAGAAAGGGGCTGGGCCAGGGGGCTGGGTGTGAACAAAGTCACTGGGAGGAAACCTGGGCCTCTCCTTTGGGTGGGGCAGGGATGACTGAGGAATCTGAGGAAGAAACAGCTAGGTAAGTAAGGACTGTGTTGAAATGAGGTGGCCCAGGGCCTAAGACAGGGCAAGGCCACCCTGCCCTGCCACATGGCTCTCCTCCCAGTTTCCTACACTGCTGGGGCTTCCTTTATTCTCAGGGAATCTGAGAATCAGAGCCTTTCCATTCTGTGCTGACACTAGAGTAGAGACAGCAGAATTGCCTAGGCCTGATGCCCAGATCCAGTCAATCAAAAACCCTTGAGTTCCTTAACCAGGGAGACAGGACACAAGAGAATTCAATTCATCCTGCTGGGTGTGACCCAAGAATAAAATAGCAGCTGCTTGTTTATGGAATGCCTTGGTCCAATGCTCATGCTACTTGTGTATCAACGGATTGACTCCTCAAAAACAACCTAAGAGGCGGGTAATAGTGTCCTTATATTACAACTAAGAAAACTTGGGCAATCTCAGAGAGGCTAAATAACCTGCCAGTTTCCACCCAGCTACTAAATGGCAGAGCCAGTCTCTAAGCCAGGCATGTGAAGCTTGCTGATTGTGTGCAGGACTTTGAAATCCAGCCCCGTTAAAGCCATTCTGTTATTTGGCCCAAAGCTGTCTCCGATCTCAGAGGGTACAAGCCCTCCTCACGTCCTTGCACTTGAAAGCATACACATGAGGGATACTGTGGAAGCCATGCTTCATCCAGCTGCAGCCCCTCCAGAAGGTTGAGTCACCCCGAGTTGATTGCACCATTGCTTTGTGCTGGGGAAGCATACTACTGTCCACCTGCTCCTCAGTCATAAAACTGCCACATCAGAGCTCGGCCTGCCAGCTCCACATTTCTATAGTCTCCACCTTCCCGAGAAAGAACATCACTCATGGCAGGACACCCAGCCTGCCTTCTCTTTATAATATGCTATTGGACAACCAGACAGGTCAAAGCTCAAGGAACAGGATATTTTCTTTTGCTTTTCACTAGATGGCTAGGGAGAGGAGAACAGGGCAGCTGAGAATTGAAGGACAGTCTAGAGAGATGGACTGATTAAAAAAAAAAAAAAACAGAACAACTTTCTCAGGATTTAACCTGTGGATCCATCATTTAGTCTTTCAGCTGAAAGGTTCCCACTTTTTCCTGAATAAAGGTTTCCTTATCTGCTCAACTAACATTCTCCAAATGATTCTAAATCACGATAGCACCTAAAAATGTATCCTTTGTGCAAAGTTCTCCAGAGGCGCTCTTTTCTGTTGCCAGGACTTGCATCAGTGTAATAGTTGGGTAAGACAGCCAAATGAAATAAAAGCAAACCTTCTAGAGTACACAGCAGTAATACTAAACTGCACGTGTAACATGGGCTCTGGTTATACATGTTCACGTTTGCTGGAGGCCCCTAACC